CGGTGCTTGGAAAAGTAGCATGGAAATTAGGAATTGCTGTAGAGTACAAGGCACTGCCAGAATGGCACAGTTTAGTGCAGTTATGCTATTAGAATCCAATGTTTTCATTCCAGAATATGGCTAGCGCTTTAAGTTGTGGCCTAGTAATTAAACATCAAGTCCTTGTAGTACACTTGGTTTTCAATCCAGATATTAGTAATTTTAATAAATAATCTTGCTAAAGTACCTAGGAATTGCTGTAGAGTACAAGGCACTGCCAGAATGGCACAGTTTAGTGCAGTTATGCTATTAGAATCCAATGTTTTCATTCCAGAATATGGCTAGCGCTTTAAGTTGTGGCCTAGTAATTAAACATCAAGTCCTTGTAGTACACTTGGTTTTCAATCCAGATATTAGTAATTTTAATAAATAATCTTGCTAAAGTACCTTCCACTTCCTGATTTCTTCTGTTAGTGCAATCCGTTTCTTTAGCCTTACTTTCCCTAGCTCACAGTATGGGTTACCTGTATGTATGGGCTTAGGAAAATAACTTCCATGGATTCCTGAACACCCAAACTTTTGAACGCATCAACTTGTTCTAAAATTGCAAGTTAAATTTCTTTTCCAGTCACACATGTGAGGCAGTGAGGCTTTGAACTAAACAGCAAATAATACCAAATCTGCAGTGAAATTGTGAGTTAGCAGTGCAGTGGTTACTCATCTTCACGTTGTACCTGTGGGATTTTTGTGAAGTAGGTCTAATTTTTCTTTTTTTTTTGTAGTAGGACGATTGTGTCTTCAGTAGTTTTTTTTTTTTTTTTTTTTTTTTTTAATCTACTACATCTTTTCTAGGAATCTCAAGAGAACCAAAGTTCATTTCCAAGAGACGGGTACCCCACCATAACCCACAGATTTCCAAGTCTTTCGAATGGACAGCAGATTGTGATTTGGATGACCCACAGGAAACTGAAGCTCTTCAGACTGCAGAATTGCAGAGGGACAACAATAACAATGAAATGAATCAGGAAAAGATTGAAACACCAGAAGGACCCAGGCTCCCCCCAAAAGATCAGTCACGTTCTGCAGATTCTGGGGCTCAAACAGCTCTTGCTCTTCCAGAAAACAACATGAGGAGATCACCGTCTGCAGCTCCACCAAATCAGAGTGAAGCACTTGAATCTCCAAAAAAGGAATTAGAAAAAGTGGAAAATGGGGTAACGGAAGTCTTTTCATGTGTTTATTTTTAATTAACTTAATGTACAGCCTCTGTGACTAATGGCATTAACACTTTTTTTTTTTTTAAACAGTATTTAATTCTATATTTTCGTGTTTTACTGTGCTTTAGGTTCTCTGTTAGGAGAATACTACTTTAAGGCCAGATTATGTTTTTTCTAACATCAATAGGAATTTTGCCCCTCACAATACATAACTGTTCACTTCAATTAAACCAGAAAATGTACTTTGCATTAATTTAATTAATGTAAACAGAAAGCAAAATGGAGTTGAACATGTGCTTTGAAAACATCATAAGGATGATAAATAGGAGGGAACAATCAGCTTTATTTTTTTTTGATCTTTTTGTGCTGTCAGCTTCACAGAGTCCTTCAGAGGAAAGCAGGCATGAATATTTCACCTTTAAATACTTTTCCTAGAAATTCTGAATATCAAAGCCAGTTTGTTTGGAAGAGTCCTCATGAAAAGTCTCCAATACTTGCGGCTGAACAGGTAACTTTCAAGAATTCAAAAAGTAATAAACAGATTGTTTTGAATATCAGTAAGTTGCCTACTCTCCAGGATCTCCAAGGCTTCTTTTTTTTTGTCACAAGCAGGCATGTATTTTTTTTTCCCCAAGTATACAAAAACGCAGTGTAATTAGATTTGTTTAACTGCGATACCTTATTGTCAAGTCTGAGTACTTGATCTCCTTCACCCAGGCTGTATAGACTGTAGACACCATTGGTCATTCTCCCAGATTGTGTTCAGCCCTTTCTAACAGGGCCATTTTCTTCTGTTTGCACTAGTTTACTTTAAGATTCTATTCAGCGTTCCAGTATTACCCCTTTGATTTCCTGTTGTTTGGCTTTATAGTAAATAAAACAGGAATGTTTAGATCCTGTCTCCTCTATGTCATTTTTTTTTTTTTTTTGTGAACAGCTTGTATTGAAAAATCAAAGCCACTTGATTTTAAGATAGTCTGGTGGCATTTGGACATTTCTCATGACTTTTTGGACATTGTAGGATTGGAAAATCTGCTATTTCTAGTCAGACTGTGAAGAGCAACTCTGGCTGTAGAACTATTTTGTGTTGCCAATTTATTATTTTTGGGATCTGGAGTAAGGTCCCCAGGAGAAACGGGTAAACTGTCCTACTTCTAGTTACAATACAGTATGATTCCAGGCACTATTCATAGAGTATGTGCGAGGTCCTGAATTTTAAAACCTTGCTCTTGTAAAAGAGTTTTTATTTTGTCTGCTTTTTCTTTACTGGGTATATTTATGTTAATGGAGTTATTACAGATGGTGCTATCTTCATTTTTATCCCTAGGTAGCAGATTTGTTCAATAACAGCTTTCAAAGGTAATAAATGGTGATAACAAGCATCCATCCCTGTTCCTGTCTCTTCCTTGGGATGCCAGGAAGGTGGACTGACTTTGAGATGTTTGTTTCCCAGCAGTTTCCTGTCCAAGGGGAACTCTCACTGAAGTGTATGACAGTTACATAGATGCTAAAGGACCGTTTCAGAAAGAAGCAGGTCCATGATATCACTCTATGGAAACGTCTAGAGGATTCCATTTGCTTGTGGTGAAAATTGGGGGTGATACTCTGGTTATTGATACTTGTGAACATGGAATATTTTTCAGAAGAAAGATTGTAGAGCATAAAATGTCATTTTTTTTTCTTTCGGAACTAATGTCAAAGCCTTACAAAATCAGGTTGTAGGTCCTATAAAAGCTGAGATAAATATAATTTAGAGAAGATCTAAGTATGTTAAAATATTTGCAGGTTCTAGGCTTAAATTGGAATTTCATATGAAACATTCAAACTAATACTGGACTGTTTTCTTTCTATTGCTCTTTATACAATAGAGAATATGCCTGAGTAATCACAGTACCTGGCCCTCAAAAACAACCTGAACGTTCTCATAGAGTTAATCATATCAGCAAGACTGAAGAAAATGTTTGCTTGTAACATATGGCATGATTTTTTTTTTTTAAACTCTCAGCTGCCCAAGAGGAGGTGATACCTGACCACATGTTGGACAAATTCAGTACCTTGGCTTGTAACAAAGTGTTAATTGGAAAGTGCTGGGAGATCAAATTACCAAGCCCTAAGCATTTGATTCTAAAACAAAGAACGGTTGTTTTTCACTTATGGACAGCACCTATACCAAGGATTTTCATGGCTTACAAAACTAGGTTTTATAGCATACATTAATTAAAAAAAAAAAAAAAAGTCATCTTGTATACAGATCTTCTTGCATACAAATCTAAAAGTGAGCTGCAAAGTTCCCTGCAGTATCTCAAACTTTAATAACTTCTATTCACAAACTTCGATAAAAATATAATTTGAGTGTAGGTTCAACAGTATCTTAGTAGTCACTTTTAAGTGATTGCTTTAAGTTTCTCTTTGATTTTTTTGATTTTTTTTTCTCTTCCTTGAAGCTAGTTAGTTTGAACATGCTGTATTTGTATGCATGGCTGAATCTGCTCATATGTGAGCGTATTTGCATGAATTGGTGAACTGATTTTGAAATGTAATCTTAAGGTCAGCAAATCCCCATTCTTTCTTTTTTTTTTTCTTTTTAATTCAAAGGTAATTCACAATGTGAGTAAATCCGTCCCTCCTTTTAAATCTGCAATTACTGATGAAACTGAATATGAGACAAATATGAAAAGGTCTCCTGTTAAGAGTCCACAACTGAGATGTGATTCAGAAGAGAAAGAATTTCCGGTTTGTGAACAAGTAAATATTTGCCCTAAAATAAAGTTATTGGTATACTTTTATAATTTTGATTTTGTTTTTGTTTTCTCTAGCCTGGGTAGTTTTTTTTGTTTTGTTTATTTTTTGTGTAAGTTTTGATTACATTTTGTAGCTGCTGTTCATGACTTTGGGCTGGGTTGGGAGTGGTTCTTCTTTAAAAGAAGACTGAAAATAACACTAAAGAACTGTACTCTCAGTGGTTTCTCTAATACCTATGTTCAGTTTACAGAGACATTTTAAATGTCTGTGTGTGTGTTATTTTTTTTTCCTCCTGTCACCTTAATTTCATTCTGAGTTTGAATAGCTTTTTTAAAATTAAAATTTGTTTTTAGACACTGGGGTAGAGTTTCTGAAATCTAAATATTCAATTTATGTTCTCACTGATACCTGTGTAATCTCTTACTATGCAGCTCTCCATGGGAGAGCTCTTGCTTTTACTACCACTCAAATTTACAGTTTTGTAGGTCAAAAATCAGAAACAGAATTAATAAAAAAAACCCGAATCCTGATGTGTGAAAGCTGTCACCATAGAGGTGATTTTCAGACAGCAGTTGTAATTTAGATATAATTCATTTCCCTTTGCCTCTAATACAAATTGTGTAACCTACGTAGGCTCTGCCCAGTTCATTAAAATGTCTTTTGAAAGAAGCCCCAGGCAGCAGTTGTCTGTTTGAGGCCGAGCATTTCCTTGTCTTGTCCTGGCTAGAACAAACATGGGTGGGATTTTAGGAAGCGTGGTTACAACTGTTTTAGCAAATACGCTTGATAACATGAAGTAATTTCAAGCTGGGGGTGTGTAAAAGAGGAGAGGACAAACGAAGCTCTAAGTGCATCACAGATAACCTGTGTTTTGCAAGGTGGAAGGATGAATGGCTGCTTTTGTAGCAAGCTACAAAGTCTGAAATTGAGATGCACTTGGCATTCTTCAGTTAGAAAGAACGTGTGTGAGTGTCAGTGTCCATCTTTCCTTCCTGGGTAAAGCAGGAACAGCCACTGTCAGGCAACGTGCTCGGTACGACTGGTACCTGCTAAGCATGGAGTGCATGAGCCTCAGTTTAAGCCATCGATGCTTTTGAGGTCTTTAGAGAGGACTGTGATGGTTAGAACCTCGACCTGTGCACTGCTCTAAATCTGATCTGAGAATGACAACTCTTAGGTCTTTTTACTGCTTTTGGCAGATGGGAGGAAAGCCTGAAAGACCAGAGGTTTCCAGGAAACTTTTGTTGTTGTTGTTTTAATACTAGCAATAAGGTTTTATTTTCCCAAGAGTTGAAATTAACGTCTGAAAAGGAAGAGAAAGCGCGAGGAGGGAGTTTTTGGTGAAAATGTCTAAAACACTTTTTGCTTATATCCATATATCTTCTCTGATAGATATATCTGAAGATCTGAAGGAGGGGTATATGATATATCTGAAGACACATTGGAGACAAATTTGGGGATTTTTTTTGTGTTTTTTTTTTTTTCCCCCTCCCAGCAAAATAAGGAATGATGTTTGAGTTTTCCAAGAGGATAAAATAAGCAGGAAAGAAAAATCTTTGATATGAAAACAAAAGAGTACAATCTGACCCTTTATAAACCATATTGGCAAAAAATTAAAAAGCTCCATTTTGTTCCATGTGAATTTGCTTCTATTGCTGTAGTGTAATAGTAAGACTTTTTTTTTTAAATTAATAATTCCAGGAATACGCAGGTTAATTTCAATGCAACACAGGTTAGAATGCACAGGTATCATATACTTTTATTGCTGTGTTTCATGTTAAATTCATTTTGTGAAGTGTACCAAGTGGGTCATCTAACTAAATGAACCTTGCACTAGGAATCCTAACTATGGCATTTTGCAACTTTTTTTTCTATTAAACAAGGAGTGTAATATTCTTTCTTATGTTGAATATGCCTAACAGTAAACATTTTAAATTCAAATTAACTTTTATTTTATGCGAAAGTTTGATGTCGAAAGCAATGTGAAGGTTTTTTAGTTTGTTAGCTAATACAGTATTTTTTAAAATTATCTTTGCCTTAGAATAAAAGGAAAGAACCGTTTCAAAGGCCAACAGAAGATGCATCAAAACAAGAGAAAAAATCAGAACAGAAACATCCTAAACAAAAAAATAAGCAACATATCAGTCAGAAACCCCTCTCTTTACATACAAGTCGTGGGTATGTATAATAGAGGCAAACCTAGCCTAGTGAATAGGTGTATAGCACCCTGATATTAGAGATATTGACCTTTAAGCATGTGATGGATGCTACAGTCACAGGACATGTGCAGCGCCTGCTTTTTGCAGAGATCTGCATCAGCATTGGGGCTGAGCTACCTGGGTGCCTGCTTTCTGCAGAGATCTGCATCATCAGCATTGGGGCTGAGCTACCTGGGGATACATCTAAACCTGATGATAAACTCTGTTCCCTTCTCTGAGCTGTGAAGCTTGCCTCAATTGAACTTCTCGATGTAATAATATTAACATTAATAAAATTAACACAAATGGAATTTCAGGAATGTGGTTGCTGTATTGAACTTTCAGTGAGTGCTTTGGATGCTGTAGTCACCTTTCAAACTGCTTTCCTGCTTGTTGCACACATCTCAAAATTGTGAAGACACTCCTTGGTGGTGTCTCTATTTTCTAGCTCGTACTACCTCCTGTCCCATAGAGTTAACAAGAGGAAAAATAAAAGGTAAAGGGAAATAAAGAAGTCTGTCCTATCTCGGGTAATCTGACAAGCACGGACATAGGATGAAATCAGATTGCTACTAAAAGGTATCCGAGTATCTTCTGCCACATTCATACACTGCAGGGATTGAGCTTGGGTCTCCATTTTCTGCACATTTGAGATATATCAGAGATGTAAAAGCTCAGAATACATGTAGGTTAAAAATGCATAAATCTAATCCGTCTCTGGTATCTTCATGCATCTCTCAATAGCTGTTTTCATTCACATGTTTTTCTGACCATATTAAGGCATTAAGTTAAAGACAGGAGAGGAGATTAGCCCATGTCTGATTACCTTTGGATATTGGGAGTTTGTTTGGATGCTTTGTTTTTAACTAACCAAAATAACCCTAAAATTGCTTTATGAGAAAGTAAGTGGGTACATAGTTCCTAGAAACAGTAGGTGGGACATAACTTTGCAGGGAAAAAACTCTCAATAGCTTGTTATGACTTCTCTTAAAGCATAGAGATCTATGCTTGTTAAAACTTTGGTGTGGAAACACCAAAGATTTTTTTTTCAAAGCAAGTAATTGTGAATATGTGCAAATTCTCAATATGCAGAGACAGGAGTTGCATTTTATGCTCTTTATTTTACTTTTTTTTTTTGAGGCAGATTGAGAGAGATTGATGCATGCTTTTTGACAAATTTGTCAGTTTTCTAAGCAAAACTTAGAGAATTCTCTCAAGTTCCAAAGAAAGGAAAAAAAACCCGAACTTGTCTAGGTTTAAGTTGATAAATCCACAGGTCAGTACTTGAGGAAGCATTCTGACTTGTAGTATTGTGTATTGCCTGCTTTAGGTGAGATCATGCTCATTTCTCTGCATACATATGTGTGTGGCAGAAGGGAAAATGAATCAACCTTCCAGAGTACTGAGCATTTTTGAAAATCAAAACCAGGAAGAAATAGCTGGATGAGTTTTACTAAACATTGTTGAGGTATTTCCCCACCAGTCCTTCCCACCCATATGCCAGACTACGCTGCCTCTACGGTGGGATTCATAGTTCTCTGTCCAACTTATTCTGTGTTTAGGATGCGTTCATAGAAAACCGTGCTTGTTTGCTTGAATGCATCATCAGCAACTGAGATACTCTGTTTTGCATTCAAGTAACTGAGCTTTGTGTGCATGTTATGTTGTCATTTGGCTGTGAGGGCCAAAGCTTCTGGCAGAACTATGAGAAGCCAACACAGGTAACTACTTCAAGAGCCACCGTCTGTGAATGAGCTTTTCACAGCTTATTGAGTTGTGTTGGCACAGATAAGTGTGTGTTTTTTCAAGTCTCAGCCCTGGAATTTAGATGCAAGAACACTTACGTATTATTGTTATTACTTTGTAAGTTTTCTTAAAGATTCTTCCAGATGCCAAGCTGTATTTTTTCTGTTCTTCCCTCCCTCTCTTTTTGCATGTTTTAGGAAGATGAACACTGAGTATAGATCAAAATTTTTATCTCCAGCTCAGTATTTGTACAAAGATGGAGCATGGTCTCGGATCAGGAATAATGTTCCCAGTCAGGTGAGTATTCTTAAAAGAAATTTAATGCCTAAACATGCTTTGCATAATACTTCTTAAAAATGCAAAAAACAACCAAACAATAACAACAACAACAAAACCCTTAAAATTGTGGTGCATATAAAATTGAATTTTTAGATGGTATGTGGCAAACACTTGGCAAATGTGAGCTGCTTCGTTGTTCAGGACTAAGGTGATGTGGAAAGTACAACGTGAGTGGATTGCTGTAGTGTCTTGGGATCTGAACTTTTGCAGATAACGTTGCCTGGAAAAGACAGGAGTAGCATTTGGTTTTTAGTTTTCTCACTGAACTTGCTTTAGCAAGACTTTTTTTTATTTGTGGAAAAAGCAATATATATTGAATATATGTGAGAGGAAATGAATGAAAAACAGGCATATTCAAGTATATCAGAGTTTTTGGATGCTTTATAACTTTTTTTTTCATATTTGTTCATCAGATTCTGGGAAAACGGTGCTATGAGGATTTTAGGGGACCAAAATGAAGCAATATTTTTATTTTTGATGTATGTTGTTAATATTTGCAGTATTTAGCATCTCTAAAGCTAGAGCAGTCTAAGCTATCGAATGCATACTAATTGTAAGTAGCTTACACAGTGTTTCTGTAGAATATCACAGCACTTTTTCTAGCTTGTGAATCTTTGTCTGGAGCCTGGTTCTGGTGTCAGTAAGATTCCAAACCTGAACGGGCAGCGCAGAGCAGTGTGCAGCACCAGCAGTGACTGGACTGGTAGCCAAGCACAGGGACAGGGTTATTGCCCTGGAATATATCTCATTTGCTGCACAGCTAGCTGGAAGGAGGCACTGAGGTGGGGAAAGCATGAGGAAACTGGAAGTGAAGGGCTAGCGTTTGCTTTAGCAGGCAGGATCCTTTAGGGATGTGCTCAGGGAGAGAGGAAATGTGGTGCTTCATTAGCACGTGCAGGAAGCTGGCGAGTGCCCACACTGTAGGTAGGTGTTTTGGCTGTGTCTGACTTCTCCATGGAGATTTTCTCACTGACAAGGGAACTGCAAAAGAAACTAGAAAGAAGTCACTTGGGCTAGACTTGAAGAACTTGGAGGAAAATATGTTAGGATATTTTAGGGCCTTTGAAGTGAAGGAATTGTGCTGGGTACCTGAAAGAGCCAAATGCAATTTAAAATTAGAGTAACAAAAACATTGTTTTACTGATTACAAATGTGCATCTGTTATATATACATGTTCACATATACATGCATACCTGAGCTCCTAATATGACTTCATATCGAAGTCCTTTATAGTTGGAGTTACCTAAATTTCTACTCTGAGCTAGGCTTCAAATCACACTTAGCCTGTGAGCATGTCAAGATAATTCTGCTAGTAGACAAAGAACAATATTCAGCTCATGTAAATACACTATTGTGTGGGATTTTCTCTTTGTAGCGTGCATTACTTCAAAAAATGTCAAGCTAATTGGCTTTATTGCAAAGCAGCAAAGGTTCTTTGGCTGTGTAAAATATAGGCTGCTCTAAAGGTTTCCCACCATTTCTTTTTAGTCCTGTTCCTGTGCTAATGGATTGGTGTTAAGTGTTGTGTGCAGATGTATCCAGCCCCTCTGAGCATTTTGAGGCTCATCCCTCCTGAAGGTGTCTAAGGAACCCCCTTACTCAGCATAAGTGATTCCAGCAGACAAGCTTCAACTGATGCAGTCTGATTTCCCACCTAGCTGGGACCACACATGGATAACTCTGTGTCCCAAACATACTTTCTGCAGTTCTGAGTCCAAACAGGCAAAGGTTGGGATTCCTCGTATAACCTTAGCATCAGTGATTACTTTGTGCCTTGCAATGTGTGCAATTAAGGGTTGCTTTTCAGCAGTAGAATAAAAAAGACTCTTTGAATTTTGCTTTTGAAAAATTAATGCAGGCAATTCATAATCATAGCAGGACTCTCTGGGGCCTGTGTCCTGCTGAGATAAAGCTGCCTGCTGAGGCACTGGAGGAGTCTGCTTGTCCTTTGTACTTCTTTGCAAGTCCCTGGAGACAGAGTCTTCTTCCTCCCCCTGCAGTGTCCTGGTGCTCTGGATTTGTATTCCTTCTGTTGTGGCTCTCATAATTAATATTTCATTCTGCTGCTTAAAGTGAATAGTCTAATAAATCACTTACAGTTGAAGCTTTAAACTGCACTCTTAAAATGGTAACTATATATTTTTAATGGGTTATTCTTTGGAAGCTTAATGGGTATAATGGGTTGAATTCTGAGATGTTAGCTAATGTGATATAAGTAGATTTCTATCTGCTGCATTCCATTGTTTTTAGTGGGATTAGCAGAATTTGGCACATGTATCTCTGTTCCTTGCAGGAAGAACTGTGCTAAGTCTATCATGAAAGAAGAATAAATAAAATAAGCTACAAAATGTGCTAAAGGAAGTGACAGTGTTTCTTTCCTGCTCTTTGATAAAATGCTTATTTCCTGTGAACCTCTTTTTAGTGAGACAGGATTCATACAACAATATCACAAAGTTATTTTTAAATGATTAAAAAAAGTGTAGGTTTTTTTTGTTGCTTTTTATTCTTATGCTTTCATTGTGTCTGGGTAAAGGGCACAAGACTGAGTGTGGAGATAATTCCAGGAATAGAAGTGTAAAATTAGCAGTGTAATGTGTAAAAGAGAGAGAGGTTGACACTTTTATTTTTGAGGCTAAAACTTCTTTATTTTTTTTATATATATATCATTCATACCGTGATTAATGAAGGAAGGAATGATTTGCACTTAAATACAGAACACTGAGAGATGTCATGTAATCATCCAGTCCTGACTTCTTTATTTTTTTATATGTATCTCATTCATACTGTGATTAATGAAGATAGGAATGATTTACACTTAAATACAGAACACAGAGAGATGTCATGTAATCATCCAGTCCTCACTGAACCAAGATTTACACAGTGTTCACAGCAGGCAAACTCAGTGTTACGCGTGCACATAGGTCATAAATTGGTATGTGGCAAATGTGTTTTTGACTGTAAGGCTTAGAAATCTGAATTCATTTCCTCTGAAAATCTAATTCTAAAATCATTTCCAAAAGTGGTGGAGTACAAGTGTTGAGGTGTTTGTTTTACAGCTTTTCACTGAATCTCTGGGAGGCAGCATAGAGCCATGTTGACAAGTTTTTAGTATTTGATTAATTGCTTAGAATGAGATGAAGTTACAGTGATGATATTAACATACATGGTTGAGAGAAAAATGAAGAAATTTCAAGTAATTCTGTATTCCTCCCCTTAGGTGTCTCAAAACACCTTAAATTCCATGTGGTATATGGAGGTTGGTTGCATCTAAGTTCTTGTTTTAATGTTTGGAGCACTGTGCTGTGTCTGAACGCTGATAAAGAACCAGAATCCAGCACTCACCTTGCTCTTCATTGCTGCTTTTTGTGCTCATTGAATAAGTAATTGGCAATTTTGCTTTGGCTTGATGGCTCAAACATGCTTACTAAATCTAAACTTTTTGTTATTTTGCTCTTTTTGTTGCATTTACTGCAGCATGTAATGTATGTGCTGTGAATGGCCCCGCATTATATATAGCTTATCCTTCTCTGGCTGCCATTAGCTAGTGCAAATACTTCATGATAGCATGTCAGAGAATTGGAGGGACGTGCAGAAACTAAAGCAGCTTTAATGTGCAGGTGAAAGAGCTTCGAGCCAGAGCAAAGGCTTACAGGCAACGACTAGAGGGCACACACTTCTCCCGACACCATCTCAATCAGATTCTCTCCGACAACAACAGTCTCTGGGATGTGTCAAGTTCCAGTTCAGAAGAGGGCATCAGCAACAACATCAGGGCACTGGATCTTGCTGGGTAAGGTTGTCATTCCTGCGTGTTCTTTTGTGGTGCTGAAATGGAGCAAGACACTGTTTTTGGGCGGTGTGGTCAAGTCTTCTGAAAGAACAGAAATATTACACCTTACTTCTCCACAGCTTTTTTTTTTTTTTTTTAGCATGGAAATCTTGGTTTCATCAAGTTTGTGGGAATTTATCACTAAGTCGGTGTCATTAAATACGTTTTGCCTACTTAGTTGTTATCAGTGTTCTTGTCAAGATTATTAAAGTTGTGGTTGAGTCTTAGACTCAGCTTACATCTGACCTGAAGATCTGGGAGAGGGAAAGGTATTACAGTCATTTCGTTCTTTCTTTAAAGACTCTTAAGAATTGATAGATTTGAGACTTAATTTTTTTTTAAAAAAGACAGTATTTTAGTGAAATGTATGGACATCTGTTGCCCGAGAAAGGAGAAAAAATGTGCTTCCTTGTTTCCTGCAAAATCTGTCTTGTCTACCTCTGTCTACAGTCCGCTTACACTGCTCTATGTAAACCACTTGTGCTGGGGGGAAGAAAGATCTACCTGTTTGCATGGCTATAGCTGTAATAAGGGTGACGAAGGTGACGCTTGAAAGATTATTTATTGTGCTATAACATCCGAGATCAAGTACAAGATAAACATATTTTTTTTTCTTCATGTGCACTGCGCTAACTTGCATGTAAGTGACTGGTTTCTGTGAGCAGTCAAGAGGTTAGTATTTTTCAAAAGCTAGTGCCAGAAGGACAGTTTTCTAAGCTGCTTGCTTGTCAAAGTTTTGCACATGCAGTCTTATGCATGGGATTAGATATCTCTTGAGCACTCCTGATAATCCAAATTGTTATTTAAATAAGAAATAGAGTCCTAACCTTTCATTTGTGGGATAGTGATGCAAAGAGAATCTGTCTTGAAAATGGATTGTGCTTAAATGTCAGTTAGAACTTCAGCAGAAGTGTAATTGTACCTCACATTTACTATTCCACTTTTTAATATCTGAACTCTCCTTTGGCCAAGGACTGAACTAAATGAATGTGCTGCTCTTAGACACGTGCATATCCTTCAAATCAGCTGTGTGAGAAAGCTTTCTTTCCGTTTCTTTCTGGTATCTAGAGTTTCTGAAAAAGAGACTTCACCAAGCCCCAAAGCGCTGCAACAGCCTGGCACAGGAGAAGAGCTGCACCAGGACAACCCTGAGAAGAAGGACCTGTCAAATGCCTCCACTGTTCCAGTCAAAAGGCGTTTAGTTTGGGGTGAACAGGAAGGTACTGAAGGAGGAGACCATCGGCCCTCAACAGAAGAGGAAGAAAAAGAAAATGAGCCAGTTGCAAGCATGGCTCAGGACTTAGAGGATAAGGATGGCACCGAGGATAAAAAAAACGAAGGGTAAAACTGGTCATTATTGTGCAGTTTATAATTTATTTGCTGAAACATCTCAACAATTTAAAGCATAACTATTCTTTAAGCAGCTTTCTTTATGAGATTCTTATTTGACTTGGTAATTTTGGCATGACACTGGTTTTGTTTTTAATAGCAGAATAAGGAATTAAATGTTTCATGACATTGAGCTAGTTGATGGGGTTGGATTCATTTTTAAGAATATTGGATTTTTTGCTTGCAAGAAAGAATCTCTATTTGGCTAAGAGTATAAAGAGTTTCTTAGGACTGTTAAAATAAAATTTGTAGTGCAGTCTTGGAACAGACTGATTACATGGCAGCCAAGTATATTGAAAATTAAAGTTCACAATTTACTTCAAGCCGGCAATGTAGAATTGATACTATTGAAAAGATAAAAACAGACAAGTAAGTACAATATTACAGTGTATTCTCTCAAGCAAACTTGTAGGCAAAAATAAGGAGCTTGCTGGAAAAAATAACTAGCACTTGCGATACTGAGCCTAGATAGAAAAAAATGTGGAAGGCTATTTGAGAATAGTAAGAATTCAATTCAGCATATGCATAGTATATTACAAATGATTCTATTTGCTAAATGAAAGACTCATATTTTATCTAGTTGCAAAGCTTTTTACTATGTGCGTTTTGGAAATATTTTGAGAGAGGTGTTTAGGTATTTACACATACACACACACATATAAAAATCTGAATTATATTGACCCTTGTTACTGTAGTGTCTAATCATTTTGGATTCCTTTCTGTGTTTTATCTTTGATGTTGCAACATCTGTCTAAAGCAAAGAATTGTAATTATCTCATTTAGGGGAAATATCTTTTATGTGAAACCTGGGCAAAGAAACGTTGAGAGCTAGACCTGAAAAGAGTTGAAACGTGAGCTTCAGCACTCAGAATGATCATCCTGAAAAGATCATTTAGTTTCTACTTAACCCCAGAGATGATCTAGTTCATATATGTGTCTCTGGTTGACATAGTAAATTTTTTTTGCCGTCTAAAAATGTGGCCAAATTGCTGTGGGCTTGGCTATGCAGAGCAGGTTCAGTACCTGGCTGCAGTCGAGGTCTTTCGAGCCCTGCAGAGGAGACATTCTCAGCCTGCCTGTGCTCGGAGCCTGCCAGTGTGCACCAGGAGCAAAGGGACAGAAGTGGTGGTGCTGATTTATAAAGTAACCTGAGGGCTAGAGCGGCGTTCTAAGTGTGGGATACCCAGTTTCAGTTCCACCACAGTGACTGAAAAGAGTCAAACCTTCATTCCCACCTCAGAACCAGCAACCTGGTCCAAAGATACCCTGGGTGAGGACTCTTTCCAGCCCTGTTGTGGAGTCTGTCACTGTGCAGCAGAGCATTTGAGGTGTAACAGCCCAGAGCGAACCTGAATTTGTAACCTGAGACTGTTTCTGTATTTTATTCCATTCATGTTTCTATAGAAAAATTGCAAGAACTGTGGGGTAAGGACTAGAATGCAGAACTCCCTGTTGCAGGCGGATGCTTTAGCTGCAGCTTCTTGGTGTTCTGTGGCCCTCCCTGACTTGCCTTAGGCTTTGTAAGAGTATGCTAGAAACCAAAAGCTTGAATGCAATACTCTCAAGTCGTTAGCTAATCCTGCAATCGTTTCCCATTTTTGCAGGGAGAAGGCCTTGGAGCTGAATTCCTCTCCATCAGATTCTTCTGTGTCCTCAGGGGCAGGTGGCAGGCTTCCCACTCCAAAGCTCAGAGCTCTCGGTGGTGCTCAGAGGACCCACCTTGATCTTACCACTCCAGTTGTTGGTAAAATGACTTTTTAAAATGTGAAGCAGCACTTCAAGAACTAAAAAATATATGTTTGAATTATTATTATTTTTAATGTAATAAAGTATTCCTCTGTCCTTAGGAGGTGCGGTTTTAGTGTCTCCTCCAAAGTCCAAGTTGTCATCTCCACAGTGGAGAACAAGAGGTTTAGGAACGAACCGTTCTCCAGCTAAGGAAGGAGTAAGAGAAGCTTCAAAAAGAAGATCCTGTAGGGTGAGCCAGAAAAGAGAATTATCATGCATTTTGGGAATGAGCTTTCTATGTCATTTTGGCTATTTTTTTCTTAGTAACTTTCTGGAGTTGCCTTTTATTATTCTAAAATTTTCAATATCTCTGATTGACAAATGCTGTTGTCAAAGTGTTTCCAAGTTTAATTATATATATGTATTTTTAATCAAGCCAATAACTAAGGCTTTTGGAGTGAAATTGGATCTGCTAACTGCATAGGGTCCAAAAAAAAAAAAACCCAAAACAAAAAACTCCGCTTACATTGGAAGCGGTTGATTCCCTACTTAATTTAGCTTGTTCTTGTCATGGAACACAGCTTCAGATCCATCACTTGAAAGGAATTAAAGGTGGGTTGGGTGCCCATGTGCTAGGTGTGTAAATGTGCAAAAATAGTTTCATTTGCCCTTTATTTTACTTTTATTCTTCATTTTACTTCTAAGTTTGCAAAGTTACTAAGAGGAAAAGAAACATTTAGAGACTATTTAGCGATCTTCATCTTAAATCATGTCATTGTTGTGAAGTTGTTTCATCGGTGTTCTGTCAAGATGGTTAGAACTTCACTGCATAGATATCTGTAGTTACCTCTATAGTAAGATCTGTAACAGATGCAGAGACAATTGAATGAAAACAAACTTTCCCAGAGGCCTTAAATGCTTCTTCTTCCAGAGCCTCATGACAAGCGTCACAGCAAACTTTTGCTGCATAAGTGAGGATCTGTACAGGAAGGCTGGTGTGGATGTATTTGTAGCAGTGCGTGAGCTTCTTTTCTTTTTTCCCCTATTATTGTGGCTTAGCCTGCTACAGAGGTGGATGCTGTTTCACTCCTCACCTCCCCACCTGCTGGCCTGGGAACGTTGGATCCTTTGCCCTTGAGGCAGGATCAGTGGCCGGGTGATGAGCGAGTTCCTCCCGCTTCGGAGCGTGCGGAGCGCCCCTCTCCTCCTGCTGTGCCGAGGGCAGCCCACATCCGCTCTGTGCCTTCTTGGAGGCCCTCTTGTCGTATCCAAGGGACTCTCAAAGACCCAGAATTCCAGCATAATGGTGAGTTTTGGGTATTAGCTGGCTGTGTTTAAAAAGTGCCCCAGGGTGGGAATGGTTCCCTTGCAAAGTGCAGGGCAGGAGTGCTGCGCTTGCTGCTTTCGTGACTGCGGGGAATGGGTGCTGTTTGTGAACAGAAGCTTCTGTTGCATGTTCAGACTTACTGGGGAAATGGGCACAGCTCAGCTTTAGATTCCTCTATTCTGCTGTCTAATTTTGCCTTATAAATTTCAGTTAGCAGTTACTCCTTATGAGAATAATTCGGTGTAGTATCCAGAGTTTTGCTTTCTCTTTAGGCTACAGCTGGATATTCTGACACTTTCCCAACCGGAGTTACCCACAGTGATGGTTTACTGGGAACTTTCATAATACAGTTTTAGTTTGCAGGAGCTGTGGATCTCTGAGAACTAAGCTCTTTAAATATTTTGTGAGGTATCGGAACAAAAAAACCATCTGTAAAAGATACGTTGGATATTCAGAAAAAATATATTTTTTTGTCCCCTAGGAATGTTCTTTGTTGTGGAGTTGTTTGTGTTGGAGCATTTCAAAATAGTTTTAAACAACAGTTATTAAGATGTTATTAATATTGTATATTGCTAATATACATTGGGGCCGTAAATCTGATAAACATGTAATCTTTCATCCCTCAGTCAAAATAAAGAGTATGTATTTAAGTCTCCGTTCCAGAAAAGCTTTTAAGGTCTCAGTGCCTTTGGTCCTTGCATTATAAGGAAGCAGCTAGACCAAGGTGCTATAGACTAAGGTACTATTTGTATTTTATAACAGAACAAGTAATGATGGAGTTAAGTGAAATGGTGGGATTCAGGACCTGCTTCTGCTTTAGCTGAGCATCTGGAGTGTGGTTCACTGTGTAAGTGTTGTGGCATCTACCAGAGACAGATGCCCTGGGAGGAATACAGTGGAATCAGTTTGTTTAACCTCATCTCGGATTTGAGGAGTCCCACTGAGGTTTTGGCATGTTTTTTTTTTTTATTTATAGGATTATATGTTTTTGGAAATAATATAACATTTTAAGATTTCTCAAACAAACTGTTATCGTTTGTGTATTTCAAAATGATTCAAAAATGTTCATTTAGCTTTTTTTTTTTTTTTCTCTTTAGGGAATGTTGTGAGTCCCAGAATTAGATCTTTTCAGCTACCACTTCAGGAAAGAAACTGCAATGATAACGGTATTGCTTCCTAAGATGTTAATGTATATCATACATATCACAGAGAATCATTTTAACTTCTATTTTGCACTGAACTAGAATGTCTCTGACTACTATAGTAATATTGATTTATGTGTTCACATGAGTAACCACCCTATCATATCATCAAAAGAAATTCAAAAATGTGTTTCCCAATAATCTGAAGTGTGAATATGAAGGTGTGTTCCAATATGAAGAAACCATTAAATGTAACTGAAAATTAAACAGACCAATGTGGTTCAGTATGGTTAAAATATCTTGCTCAAATCCACACCTGAAATCACTTCCTCCATGCAGACTTTTAAGCCTTTGTATTGACATTGAGAGAAACCAGCTGCAGAATGATCACAGCCCAGTTTGCATTTGCAATACTTTTTGATACAGTTTAAAAGGTACCAAAAATAAGATAGAAAATAAAGATAAATCTCTCTTGCTTGTCAGACTTTATCACTAGATGGTTTCACTGGCTTTAATGTTTATACCTGTTTTTCTGCTAAGTGTGCAAGGGATCCTTTTGGCATCCTATTTTTTGATTGCTCTTTTGTCCCTTTCCTCCATTTATGGTAAAGTTACTCTGCGGAGGAGCTAGCACACGGCCCACTAGTACATGTGGGCCCTTTTGTGGGCAGACCCAAAAAAAATTATTTCTGTAGTCTGAGGCAAGCAAAGACATTGTAGCCTCGTTAGCTTGAGCTCATCTATGCTCTTTTTTAGCATGGCACATGAGATTGGGCTTGCTGTGGGGCTGTGCTAGCCACAATCACCTGTCTTACAGGGTTAGCATATTGGCAATGTGAGGTTATGTCTGACTGTGGGGTATTTATAGACAAACCCAAGAACAAGCAAAATGTCTTTTCTGCAGCCTTTCACGCCCGTTTGCTCCGCAGTTTTAACCAAGGTTCAGCCTGATTCTCTATTTCAGTCATTGCAGTTGCCTGGAAGATGTGTGGGTTGTGCAGATGGCTCAGCCAAGCATCTGTGTATCTGCCCAAAACATGCAAGATCCTGTAGCGCTCTGCAGCTTCCCCCAAGTTTGCTACACAGACTGAGCTGTAACTGCCCTGTTTATTATTATTATTATTTTTACTGTTATTGTTATTATTTGAATGATAGTGCATGAGCTTTCAGAAACAGGCACAGTGTGGCACCTCACAGATATTTTGTATACCTGTATTTGTTCCTGCGCATACAAAATTGGGAGTTCATCCAGGCACATGTCTGTCTGCTGAAATACAGCTAGCAGGTTTCTCATGCATGGGAATATTGTTCCGTGTGTTGTGTGTAAGCCAACATGGCATGGCCGTTTTGGATCTCTGTATTTCAAGAATTTAAAAATATTGCTGAAAAATTAATTGCAACACTCACAAAATACAGATCCCGTTAGGATTTAGTCATGGTATCTTTGTTGTTTTTTGGGGGGCAGGAGAGGGAGAGAAGGTGTTATTTTTTTTGGAAAGTAGTAGTATGGTTTTGTTTATCCATTGCAGGAGAGTTGATGTGTTTAAGGTCTTTATCCATAGAGAGCATCTCGATAAAGCTGTAACAACACTTCAGTAATGATGTCAAAGAATGTGACATTGTGCTTTTTTTCCTCAGAGAAGCAGCCTTCAGGCCGTGTAATTTTAAAAGTTTCGCTGAATATCAAATGGTTCCTTTAGTCAAAGAAACACCTTCTTTAAAGTACATTTCTAAAGCTTATTTGCTGTCTTTGTGTTAACCTTCCCGCTTTCTTCAGAAGACATATGTTTTTGAACAATTTGTGGCAGACTGTTTTTGGCACAGAATGCTGCTTTCAGCAACATAGATTCTGATATTTTAGTCATGGCATTCTACAGATGTCTGTCTGCTTAAAGTGGTGGGTTGCTTTCACAAATATGTTATTACCAGAAGCTAGTCTAGACAGAGACCAGTGGCAGAGGAATGATTTCTGAGGTCTCCCGATGAAGGAGAGTAAATGTAGAGTTAAGTTGGAGAAATGAGCAGTGTTTTCAGAATTATCAAAGTAAGACTGGAGACCTCATTTTCTCAAAAACTGAGCATGTAATTCTCTTAAACCTACCTAGTGTCTCAGTGACTCTCCAGGTAGATTGTTTTCCAGCATGTTAGTTACCAAATAATAGAATTCAAGTGAATTGTGGTACTATTTTAGCATCCACTGTAATAGAGGACATAAAAATACTTGAACTTTCAAAATTTGTGAGTGTTAGCAGTCTTTTTAAATGTGCATTTAATCTCTCTATTTTCTCTCTTTTCCTTGTTGCTTTCCCCACAGATGACAGGCTGTCTCAGATCTCTGCTCGCTCTGCAGCTTCTAGCTCACTGGCCTCTCAGGTATTGGAACGAGCTCAGAAGAGGAAGGAAGATTTCTGGGGCAAGACATAATTTCTCCCACCTGTTTTATATTAACTGTCCTGTGAAATGATTTATTTTTGCAGTCTGTAGTTGTGTATATTTTTTTAAACCTGGGATTGCAATGTCATGAAGTGTCCTTTCACCTGTCACTAAGAAGGTCCAACTGTTTAGCTGTCAGCCAAATTTTGTCATTTCAATATTTAAACCAGTGCTGAAAATCTGGGTCTAGGATGTCAGTAAGAATTCAGTCCTAATTCATGATTTTACAGCAGCTGTGTTGAGTGTTTTCTTTGGTTTTGTTTCTGTTTTACAGTGGCCCCTCCTGAAACTGAAACAATTATTTTTATGCAGCCTGTGTGTTACTCCTCAAGTACTCTGCAGTTCTACTGCAGTCATGCAGTATTCAGGGGCAACAGCATCATTCTCCACACATCTCAGTTGCTGGATTTTAACCAAGTGTATTAGACAGCTCTGGTACATTCATTTGCTCTTGTGTGAATTGTGAGTACAGCACAGTGCTGTAACAAACTGTTGCTTTTGCTACTTACTGCTTAGGCTCCTGTCAAAAAAAATCCTAATACTTCTTAACAAAGCTAGCAATGGACATACAAGAGCTTTAGAAAAGGTTAAGCTATGGGGTTCTGATTGTCCCAGCTTTTTGGCCAGGATGACTATGAGAGTTCAGTGTGTGCCACGGCTATCTAGGATCAATGTGAACACAAGTCTTTTGTTGGCAAGACCCATTTTTTTATTGTAAATTTCAAATTCTTTAGAAATAAAAACAATTTCAAGCACATAAACACTGGTATTCCCCAGTTCTACTTCAGCCCAGGTATTTAGAAGTAGTTGGTTTCTTAAAGTAAACTTGGAAGAATATTTTATTTTGAGATTTTAATTACCCCTTCTACTGATTGCCTTTTTTGAGTGACTAGAATACTATAGACATTGTCACAGCAAAAACTGTTTGCTGTGTCTGATGGCAGCCTATTTTCTCTGTCCAAGTGATACAAAGAAGTTAACACAAAGTGGGAGAAATAGGTGGATAGCAGCCAGTTCTTACAGCAGTTTGCTTCTTTTTTACATCGTTTTAAGCTTTAATAATATATGGTTTTAAAATTTTGTACATGATCAATTTCAATTTTGTACACATTTGAAAATAAAATTACATTTGCTTGTTACACTTTAAACTTTGGTTTATAGTTGATGAGAAAATTTTGAAAGGGGAACTTGTTTTTGTGTGCGAAACCGCTTGTTAAGAAAGGTGCCGGTTTTTCTCTAAAATGACAGTTTTCAATGGAAAGCTAAATGGCTAAAGATGGAAACGTTGCAGCAGTGTGTTGGGAGCATTAATTTCATTGTCTTCTGTCTGAATTCTTCATTATGGGCCACTTCCTTGGTCAACCATGTAGTTCAGTGCATGCCCCTCTGTGGTACCTGTAATCTACAATCTGTGTCCTCCTCTTTATTTTTATTAGTGTGTTTTTTGTTTGTTTGTTAAGTTTTCCTGGGATTCCTGGCTGTCTGGCATCTCTTGTCAGAGTTTCTGTGCAGGCTTGACCTTGAGACCTGTAAATCATAGATGTTTTAACAGCATTTGTGCTAGTTTATGTACAGTTGTATTGCACTGTGAGTGTGCAGGTAGCACTGAATTTGTGTGCTCTATGGTACATGTATATTTAATTCTGCCAAGGGGACAGTAGAAATTGTAAAGTTGGGACACATTTTTGTTGCACGAGGGGATAAATCCAAAGTAGAGATGAAAATGGAATCTCCTGGCCTCTCACATGTCACCATATGATATTTCCTATCTAAACAGATTTTAGCTTTTGCCTGAAAAGTTCTAGCTGAATTTGCTTTTGGACAGAATTTAAGGGCAAAGTAGACAAAATGCCTTTGCTGAGTAACACTGGCACAAAGCTTTTGAAAAATGCTCTTCCCTAGTCTTCAAGGCAGACATAAAATTCTTTATGCTTTTCTGCTGTTACTCTTTGTTTATTTGTTCAAGAGGATGTTTTTGCTTTGTTTTTCTGAACTTCTCAGACCACCCTTTAAGGACTTTTCCTGTTGTCTTTTCCAGCAAGCTGAACGTGGAAAAAAAGTTCAGCAGTGCACCCTTTGTTAATACTTGCAGATGCGTGCTCTGCAGGGAATGTGTATTGTTTTCTGCTAAGGAAATCTTAGAAGCCTTAAAATTGAGACTCCAGAAAGTTAAACAAGGAGGATGGCAGTTGCCAATAGGAGACACACGTAAGAAATAAACAGCCTGGGGAGCTGGTTGACTTGAGGACAGGTTTTGCAAAGTGACCGTATGAACAGTGGAGCTCATCAGTAAGAAGTCTGAATGAAGAACTGAACTGAATGTGTTCAGCTCCCGTTCCCACATTGGAAATAGCAACAGGATCTCGCTGCTTGGGCTTCACAGCCCCCCTCCACCTGTGGGACTAAATAAGCCAGCTTTTCAGTCACACAACAAATCGACTCTAATTGCCATGTCCCAAAAGGAAGGGGAAAGTGGGAAATCACCTGTTTCTTTAGCCGACTCTGTTCTGTCTGACAAACAGGACCGTTTCTGCCCTTGGGGGTGGCCTTGTTCTCGCATGGCTCTCGCTAAGGTGAAGAGTTGTGCTTGCTGCAATGTCCTCTTTCTGGCCACATCACAGAGAAATGACTTCAGCACAGGAGAAGCAGCACCTTTCTCTGTGCTCAGGCAGTTCTTCCAGGAAAGTTTTTTTGCTGCCTCTGGGCAGGAAAAGAGTTTTGTGGATTTAGCTAGATGCTTACAGTCACAGCAACGTGGTTACACACGTGAATCATTTTGTGGCTCTGGGCATTCATTTCAGACTCTCCTCTCCCAGTGTTTTTCGTGATGCATCAGCCTTCTGTACTTAAAAAGCTGAGGTTGTCAGTGAACCCCTGGGACTAACATTTTGTGAAAGACTAGTTAGGGTTTTCCAGACATGCAGGAAAGTTTGGAAGAAAATGCGGGTTTGAGGATCATTCCCAATTAAAAAATCCATCTAAAATGCAGAACCTTTGCATTGATGTTTTACAATTAACTTTCAAGCTCCAGTGCCTCACTGAGGTGAGTTCTGAAATGTAATGTGAAATGTATTCGTCTCCTCAGCCTTGCAAATAGAAGCAGCCAGTTGCTTTAGCCACCAGCATGACATTGTTGCTGATGAAGGTATAGACAACGGGCATATCTTTGGATATACAGCCTGGATTAAGTCCCAAAGCTGCTCAGTACTCTTGCAGTGATTGGAATCCTGGTAAACAACTCATTGTGTTATTGTCCAGGGAATTTCGGTCCTTTGGATTAAAAAAAAAATCCTAAATGGTTTGGGGGACCCCTGTGAAGTGAATAACAGCCTCCTGAAAACAGGTTTGCCTTTGCTGGTGCAGGTTGCCCAACTTCCCTCTGAACCTCAGGGCTGGTGAAAAAACAGTGTATATTGAGGAATGGTTAGAGAAAGAATCAGGAAGTCACTGGGTTTCTCCTTTGCTGATGTTTTTTTGCCTAGTCCACAGGCTACAACGTTTTCTTTATCCCAGCCTTGGCGTTACTGCTTTCTGATAGCTGCAGAGGAAGAAACACTTTTCAAATGCTGTACATCGTGCTCGGTGAGCAAAGTTAAACCAAGGAAAGGTGGGCCAGGAAACACAGCATCTGTGAGCATGCTGATGTGCACTTGTGTAATGCTGCTGTGCACTTGTGTAATGCTGCTCTCCTTTCTAATTACCCAGGCCTCTTCCCCCTGCACGCTTGGCAGCAAATGTTCCATTAGTTCTTACTGGGTGGTTAAAGTTTGTCAGTAAAGAGCCCAGTCCTTCTGATGCAAGTGGAAGTTCTGCTATTGCTTTCGCTGACCAGTTTTTAGCAGCCTGAAGCAAAAAACTGTTCAGTTACCCATGTACACACAAACGACTGATAAAGAAAGCTTCCAATTAGAGTTCAAATCATTTTGCAAATTAAATAACAAAACACAAACTGATTCAAACAGAAATTTTCATTTGAAGTGACCTAAATTAGTGTCCTGATTCCAGCAGTTAATCAAACCTTTGCAAATATGAATCTCAGGAAGAGAGGGGAGGACTCTGCAGAATTTGGGACATAGGAAATTCTCTTAGGTGCAGCTGCAGGCGGGCTTAGCTCTAAGGAAGAGCCGCATCACGTAGCCCTGATCACAGTGAAAGCTGAAGGCTGAGCTCATCGGCTGCTTGGAGCTAACCAAGAAAAAGGGGGTTTCACGGAAATCCAAGCTACTTTTTGTTCTGAGTTTAATAATATGTCAAAGAAGAACATCTGGAGCTTCCTGTTAAGAATGTAAATGAGTTTCTTAAATAGTCTGGTGTTTGCTACCCTTAATCTGCGTGTGCGCGGGCTGATTCCTTGGGGCTTCGACGCTGCAAGCTGAGCGCTGCCGTGAGCAGGCTCTGCTCTAGCTCGCGCTGCGGGGTGGGCTGAGCCCCGTGCTCACGGTCTGAGCGCAGCCTGCCACATGTGCTGTGGTGGGAGAAGGTCTGTGAAGTGCGGGGAGCTGGGCTTCCTACAGCCCTGCGGCGCTTGCTAGTGTGGAGGATGGCGTAGGATTCTGCCAGAGACACACAGCCTTTGGAAACTGGAAGGAGAAGGTGGCCTTGGAAACAGCCACACGTATACCTGGTCTTGGTTCAGTTTGTCGTTTGTGGGAATAAAAGTGCAAGCAGAAGTACTCATTACGGCAAGAGCCATCTCTTTACAGAGCGAGGTTGGTGATACACTAGTGCTAGCAACTCCTCCTTGGTGTAGATGGCTCCAAAGCACCTCCTTGGGGAGCGGAGACAGAAGAGCAATACCTGGAAGGGTGCAGAAGCTTGTGCTTGGAGACATCAGTCCGTGCGTCCGTGTCTGCTCATGGAGTTTCGACGCCACGGGATGCAGCCTGAGGCGGAGAGCTGCGTGCCTGGGTCTCACGTCAGGGCTGTGTGGGACAAGGCCAGCGGGACGCGGCTCCTCCAAGCTGGGCTGGCTCCATGTGTTCCTAGAGCTGTGCTCTCTTCGTGGTTCCAGGGGGAAGCTGGCTCCAGCCTGTCTATGCT